TCCCTCCCCGCACTGTCTTAGGTGTCTACGGTTGTTTTCCATTTTTTTTATCCCCACATTTTATTGATTCACAAAATTTCTTAAATAACCTAACTGCTTTCACCAGCAAGTTCAGCTGGTATATCTATGAATACATGTCTGACTTTAGGTGTGAAATTCTGAGTAGAATGAATAACTCTAAGGTAGCACCTAGCTGTTGCTATATAGCTTACCACAGTCATTTTTTAATTTCAAGCAAAGCAATTTTAGCTTAATAAATCAAACAAATGCTAAGGAACTTTGCTTAAAACTTAAAGCCAGGGAACAGGTTAGGATTCTATTTAAATAGTAGGTACATGAACCTATCGGCAGCTCAAGACAGGACAAAAATCCTTAAAACCAGAAAACAAAGCCTAGAAGAAAATAGCAATGTTTTAGCCAAAAGTCATAAAATGCTATTTCACCATCTTATAGTCTTATTCAAATCCATAATTATTAACCTAAATACCCCAAATCTTGACTTAAAAAGGCTAAACTTATTATTTTTTATATGTGTTTGAATTCATACTCTTAAAAAGCTTTTTGATTAAAAAAAAAAAACTATGCTTTGAAAAAATAATCTGAATATTGTCCATCTAAGAGTGTAATTAGAAATACCATCTTCAAAGTAGTCATAGTTACGTTGAGGACATTCACCTTCAAGTATTTTTTAGAATTCCTCCTGAAACTAGTTTTAATACTGAAATAGTAGTAATTGAAAGATGATGTGGGGCCAGCAGGTGGCATTGTGGTTAGGGGTGCTGGACTCCCACATGGCTAACTGGGATTCGAATCCTGGACCAGGTGGCTTACTTTCTCACTTTCTCTCTCTCTCTCTCACTGGTCAAATTAAAATAAATAAAGTTAAATAAAATAATTATTTTTTAAAAAGCTGATGTAATGTTTCTAAATTAACCTTAAGCCCTAAGTATATTTGCCTATTTTGCAAAATGCAAAATGCCTTCTAAAATGAAAAAAACTATTCATAGATTTCAAAAATTTTTGGTACTGGACCAGCAGTTGGTGCAATGACTATGTCACTGGACTCCCATGTAGTCGACCATGGTTCGAGTCCCAGACCTGGTGGCTTGAACTCTTGCCAGGTGCATGTGCATGTGTGCCCAAGATCTTGAGAGGAGAATGGAGGAAAAGGAATTACAGCGTGGCCATCCCCCCTGAGGGATGATTTTTCGGTTTCTGTATCTCTATCTCTCTCTGTTTTTCTGGCGAACGCACGCACCCTATAGCAAAAACCTCTCCAAAAAAATATTTTTTGGTACCAAAATAAACTCATGCTTTATTATCTTTTTAAGAATTATTTAATTGGGAACCAGCAGTTAGCGTAATGGCTATGTCACTGGACTCCCATGTAGTCAACCGCGGTTCGCGTCCCAAACCTGGTGGCTTAAAACTCACGCCGGGCGTGTGTGCGTGCGTGCCCAAGATCCCGAGAGGAGAATGGAGGAGAAGGGATTGCGGCGTGACCATCCCCACTGGGGGGTAATTTCTCGCTTTCTGTCTCTCTGTCTCTCTCTGTCTGTCTGGCGAGCGCACACGCCCTATAGCGAAAACCTCTCACAAAAAAAAAAAAAAAGAAAAAAAAAAAAAAAAAAAATTATTTAATTTTATTTATCTTTTTTTTTTTTTTCCATTTGCTATAGGACATGTGCTCACCAAAGAGAGAGAGAGAGAGAAGGCCATCTACTAGGTCTGGGATTTGAACTACAGTTGGCCTGTGGAAGTCCAGCGCCTCAACCACCATGCTACCTGCTGACCCCAAGCTCATACTTTAATTCTACTTTCCCCATGAACTGTTTGGATTTTCCTCACACTCCTATCATTGTTAAGCTTCATTTAGTGGGGAAACTTCTCTCCTTATGAGACTTCATGGTTCTACATACATTTATTGAGCTTTCCATGTCATACTTAGATTTTACTGGGCACAAATAGAACAATTTTATTTTTGACGTAAAGGAGCTTATGATTTTTAGTAAAGGAATTAAAGACAGCCATGTTGCCAAGGTATTAAAATAGGTGGAGTACCATAAAAGTTGGGAACTAGGGCATTAGGGAAGATCCTTGGGAGGAAATTAATATTTGAGTTATGATTCTGGAGGGTGTGGGCATGGTAGGGGACATTCCAGGCAGAGATAAAAGCAAAGTTTAGCTGTAAAGTTCCAGACAGGAGAAGTATAACCAATAGGGTACAGAAAGGATTGGAGTAGGGAAGAGATAGGTCAGGACAGGAAATGCACAAAGGGGTGAACTAAGACACCTGCACTAGAAATGGAAATCTTTCTAGCTTCCTTGGAAAAGGGAAGTCAAAGATGCATGTCCACATGAACTGAACTCTAGTGGTGCCAGAAACTGAAAAATACAAGAGCACAGTGTTTGGAAAAGAAAACGAAGCGCTCAGTTTAGGACACGGGAGAGCTAAGGCCATCCAGACTCTCCTACAGAGGTCAGTAGAATATAAAACTAGAGCACACAGAGACTGGGCCAGGAGGACTTAAAGTCTGAGGTAGCCATGTAGAGTTCTGTGACCAAGTGATGGTGCCAAGGAAAAGATTACGAAGAGAGAGCAAAGGACAGTTTGATGAGCACAGGATGTCTAACATAGTTACACAGAATCCAACCCTTTTCAGTTTTAGCATTTTCCCCTTTTTTACCTTTTTCCGCTCCATTTTATTCTGAAAGACATTTTCCATTTTCCTTATTATTTTCTTTTTGTGTATGTTTTTGGCTCTGAAGTCTATGATTCTAAAAAGATAGTTACACAAGAACTTCTAAATAGAATGTTTCTACTAATTTGTTGAATTAATTCCTTTTTAAGCTCTTGTCTTTACTTTCTTTCCTCCTTGATTATAGACATCATGAGCAGAACTGTGATGTTTAAATATGAAGAAAGATGGGAACCAGCAGTAGGCGTAACGGTTACGTCACTGGGCTCCCATGTAGATGAATGTAGTTTAAGTCCCAGACCTGGCAGCTTAAAACTCATGGGAGACGCATGTGTGTGTGTGCCCAAAATTCTAAGAGGAGAATGGAGGAGAAAGGATTGTGGCATGACCATCCACCCCGAGGGATGATTTCTCATTTTCTCTCTGACTCTGGTCCCATGTTCACAGGAGCTCTATATAATCAAACTTTATTAAGTACCCTTTGCAATGTAGAGAGAGTTAAGACAATGTTATGTCTTGGCTAGAGCCCTAGGCTTAATTAAAGAGTATGGGCACTATTTTGACCAGCAGTTGGCATAATGGCTATGTCGCTGAACTCCCATGTAGTCGACTGCAGTTTGAGCCCTGGACCCGGTGGCTTGAACTCAACACCGGGCACGTGTGTGTGCATGCCCAGGGTCCCGAGAGGAGAGTGGAGGGGAAGGGATTATGGCGTGGCCATTCCCCTTGGGGGTGATTTCTCACTTTCTGTCTCTCTGTCTCTCTCTGTCTTTCTGGCAAGTGCACACGTCCTATAGCAAAAACCTCTCCAAAAAGAAAAAAATAAGAGTATGGGCACTATTTGTTTTCATAAATCTTCTTCTAATAGAGATTTGATTTCCAAATTAGAAAAGCATGATTAACACTCTGTAATTTCTTTAGGCCCTAAAGAAGGCTGATAAGCAAGTTTTAGAGCCTCTGATGAATCTCGAGGTTACAGTGCCTAGAGATTACCTCAGCCCTGTCCTGGCAGATCTGGCACAAAGAAGAGGAAACATTCAGGAAATCCAGACTCGTCAGGACAACAGAATTGTTATTGGATTTGTTCCCTTAGCCGAAATTATGGTAGGTACTTAAGTGACGGAAAAACACACTCCTTTTTTAAAAGAATTATTTTATTTGACCAAGAGGGATAGAGTAAGAGAGAGAGAGAAAGGGAAAGTGAGAAAGCAAGCCACCAGGTCTGGGACTCAAACCACGGTTGGCCATGTGGGAGTCCAGCATCCTTAACCACCACGCTACCCGCTGGCCCCCACATGTTTTATTTTTTAATACAGGGGATATAAGAGCCAAGTGAAAACAGGCAGTCAGTAATAGTTGAAAGAAGCCTCAGGGCTTTGATTTAGAGAATGCATGTTACGTCTCAACCATCAGGAACAGTTAGGATTCGGATTTAAATTGTTGGACAAATCCAGGGATTACAGCGCTTCAAGGAGTTCTTTTCAATCCTAGGACCACAGAGGTTGAGGTATACCACAGCAAAATGTGGCACCTGGGTACCAACAGATCTAGCTCACGAATGCCAGGACCACAGGATATGTCCTCCACAATGTTTTTATATCCAATGTTTCTGGGATGGGGGGAGGTTCAATGATCTATTTGAAGGAAGTGAAACACAAGGCTTAAATCTGGTGATAATCAGGGTCGGCAGGGGGCACGGTGGTTAAAGGCACTGGACTCCCACATGGCCAACCATGATTCGAGTCCCGGACCTAGCAACTTGCTTTCTCACTTTCCCTTTCTCTCTCTTTCTGGTCCAATTAAAAAATAATAAAAAGTGGAATTAAAGAAATAAATAATCCTTTTTTCAAAAATCTGATAACCAACTTAAATTATTTCAACTAGGGATACTCAACTGTGCTTCGAACATTAACATCAGGCTCAGCTACTTTTGGCTTAGAACTGTCTTCTTACCAAGCCATGAATCCTCATGACCAAAGTACACTGCTCAGCCGGAGAAGTGGCTCGACCCAAGTGTCTTAGGCCCATTCAGGAGCAACTATCTGCTTCATTTTCAGTAAGAACAGTTTGTATTGTTTTATTTCTTGGACAAATAAATTGCTGTTTTCAGTACATTCAAAGAGCTAGGTAATAGGTGTTACTTGGAAACTGACAATGGCACTGGAGTTAACTATTCTAATAAAATGTGTTTTGTTATTCAGTGTGAATGTACTTTAACCATGTTGTTCATCTATGAAGTTATTATCACAAGGTTTTGTTTTTTAAGCTTCTCTCACAAGAAAGACACCAGTCTTCTATATGTAATTTAATTAAGAGGTGCAATCAATAAAAAGATATATTTTATTCAAAAAAGTCTAAATCTTAGTTCACATGATTTTAGAATCAAGTTGATTAGAGTGCAGATTGCTGTGGCCTTTTCTCTTCCTGTTTGTTTGGCTCACTTTATACTTGGTCGTCATAGTCACAGTGTCCAACATAAAGTGGTTCGGCAGCTATTCCACGTCTGTAGACAGATAACATGAACAAAAGATGTTTAGATTGACATACTTCATCTGCCAACTTAAAGGAATTGAGGAACTTAAATTTATTTTTTTCAGAAGAGAGATTTTTGCCACAGGGCGTGTGCACTCGCCGAAGATACGGAGATAGAGAGATAGAAAGTGAGAAATCACCCCCGGGGGGATGGCCACCCACATTCTTTTCTCCTCCATTCTCTTCTCAGGATCTTGGGCATGCATAACACACGCGTCTGGTGTGAATTTTAAGTTGCCTGGTCTGAGACTCAAACTGTGGTTGGCTACATGGGAGTCCAGTGACAGCCATTATGCCATCTGCTGGTCCCGAGTAGATTAAATTTTAATCACCAAATCAAAGTCTTTATTACTGAGCAAAAAGGGAAAAAGTCATTCAAGATTGTTAAAGTGATTTAAGATGGAGTTGTAAATTCTACCAACATATATCTATAAAGTAGTCATAAGTCCAAATATATATTATTCTCTTATCTACAAAAATAATCCTTAGTTTCTAATTAAATCACTACTTCTTAGATGACATTTCTAACTATAGGAGGAAAAAAACCCTAAGAAGCTAACACCAAGTAAGGTTAGAAATCTCAATGGACTTAACAGTACTAGCTCAAAAAATACTTCTCTTGGGACCATGTAGTCGACTGCGGTTCAAGTCCCAGATCCGGTGACTTGAATTCACGCTGGGCGTGTGTGCATGCGTGACTAAGATCCTGAGAGGAGAAGAGATTGCAGTGTTGCCATCCCTCCTGGGGGGTGATTTCTCGCTTTCTGTCTTTCTGGCAAGCGCATGCGCCCTATAGCAAAAACCTCTCCAAAAAAAAAAAAAAAAAACTTCTCTTACCTGACCATTCTGCAGCGGTGCCTTGTTAGTCTGCTGTAGGCGTTACCTATATTTGTGACATTTTTATGACTCCAGAGTCTCTCACCAACAGCGCTTGCCCGAGGCCTAAAATTAAACCACATGTTCCCCAAAACTTTAAAGTCATGTTTTTAAAGTAAGTATCTAAATCATATTCTTGGGGAAAACTCCTAGTGCTTTCCTATTTGGATAAAGAAGGGTACTTCCTCCCCCTTCCCCAGAGGGCATGTGTGTTCAGTAGAGGAAGAGGAGAAAGTGTCCCCCATGGGGAATGGTCACAATATAGTCCCTTCTCCATCTCCCCCTTCCTTTGGAATCATGGGCATGTAGGCACGTGTGCCCAGAGTGTTTTTCAAGCTGCCAGGCTCAAACCACAAAGTTGGCCATGTGGGATCCAATTGCCTTAAGCACCAGGCTACGGAACCAGCCCGGCACCTTAATTCTTAAATGTTATCACTTAAATGCCATACCATAATCTTGGAATGAGGTTAGTTGCATCCACATATTCTCCCCATAAACAAGCTTCTCCACCAATGACGAGCTTTTTCTGTTCGTCAGACCCTGCATTAAAATCATCAGATTGATGTAAGTTCAGCAGTTTCAGTTCAGGTTTAATTTGAGATAATACTGATTTCTCCGTCTAGTCTTTATGCTAGGGCAAGTTCTCTAGAGTAGTCTGCAGGATTTGCGAGGTGTTCGTGGCTGTGCACAAGAACAGGTGGCAGACTATTCCTTCCCCTGGCCTTGGTTTATAGTGCATATTAGCGTACACAAATCACGTGAGCATTAAAGACACTGTTTCAGGCCCAGCTCTGGTGGCCTGGGTAGTAGGGCACTGTTGTGCAGTATCTTCTAGCAATAATACGGTTTCTTTCTCAGAGTTTAAAATGATAGCAGTCGTTGTTATTTTAATACAAAAATCAAGGATCAAAATAAAATAAGATAGTAGGTAACACCTGCATAAGGATTCTTGGGCAGGGGATTAGGGGAAGAGAACTAACAAACCGAGGTATTAATGATTGTTTTACTTACCTTGAAAATCAAGAGGTTCCACTCCATAATAGTTTTTCCAGTCTTGCCCATAACTAATCAAATCCAAGTACCAAGGAGACGAAAGGATTACAGGGAAGCCAGCCTCTGTCACTTTACTGAGCTCGTCAGTGTACCCGTTACCTTTCCATACTTCGATTACTGTGCCCGGCTGAAGCTAGGAAAGTAACACGTTGGAATACATATTATTGGGTCTAGCAAACAGAGTAGATGAAATGGAAAGCCTAAGGCATTATGGCTGTAAATGTGCTGTGAATGCACTTTTTTGTTTTTTTAAGTTTTCTGTAGGGCACATGCACTGCCAAAGAGAGAAAGTGAGGAGGCGCTCCCCAGGGAGTGCGGGGAAGTGAGTTGGCAGGCAGCTCGTGGGAAACCGTCCAACAGCATTCTCTACAGTCTTCTCCATTCTCTGGAGAGTCTGAGCACACATGCACATACGCCTGGTGTCTCTCAAGTCACCAGGTCTGGGACTTGAACCGTGTCGTTGGCCGTGTGTGAGCCAGCCACCCCAACCCCCATACTACCTGCTGGCCCCCAAGGAATGTAACTTTTTAAAGATCCTTAAAAAACATGTATACATTTTCTTTCCCTTCTCCGTCAGAGTCACTGCCATATGGTATTCACTGCAGGAACTCAGACTGAAAGTTTCATCAGCCTTAAGGTTGGATATTTAGCTTCTGCCTTTATGTGGCAACATGTAGGTTCAGAGACTGAGGCTTAAATTTGCATTTTAGTCTCATTTTTGCTACCCATGTTTTACTTTGAAACTGTGAGTATGTCATGTCCTCTCTGCAAAGGTAATACTAGTAGCTGGACTTGCCAGTACACATTGTCTCAAGGAAAATAAAGGATTTGGACTATGTCAGTGAGATAATACCATTTTTTAAAAGTAAATATTGCCGATTGGGGCCAGCAGTTGCTGGGGTGGTTAAGGCGCTAGACATTCCACGTGGCCCACCACGGATCAAGTCTTGGACCTGGTGGCTTGCTTTCTTACTTTCCCTCTCTCTCTGTGTTCTCTCCGATCAAATTAAAATAAATTAATGAATACATAAAATTAAATAATTCCTTTTTTTTAAGTATATATTGACGATTGATCTTAATACATAGCTACCTTAGTAGTAATAAAGACTTGTTTGTTCTTATCTGTTTATTTTGCCCCTCAGGCGAAAAAAAAAACTTAATTCAAAGTTCACAAAGCTCGATTTGTGATTAATGATAAGACGACAGGGGAGAAGGACAGGAGGGCGAGATGAACAGGTGGAAGCAGTCTCATATCATCTGAATCACATGCAGCCTTCACAACTCTCACCTGTCCGTGGTCATCAAAAACCTCTTGCCAGACAATGGATCTCTTGTTTGTGGGTGCAACAATATCCAAAAGCCTAATATTAAAAATAGTTGCAGTTATTTCCAATGGGTTTTAAATACATGTCTTCTAAGGACTACCTTTAGCACTGGGAAGTGCCAAGCTCTCTAGCAGGACCAGCTAACGTGGGGTAGTGGTACAAGTGGTTCTTTTCAGCACCTGGCATAGAACCGAGCATAGTCCAGGGGTTTCACAGTCACTGCTGAGGGAAGGCGCTAAGCATGCCCGAGACAGGTGGGGGGGCCTCAGACTGAGTTGGTAGACAACCCATGGGAAACTGTACAACAGCACTCTCTGGTAATTTCACGGACATCTCATAATAAAGGAAACCATAATCTAGTCTGTCATATCACCCAAATGACGTTCAGTAGTTACTAATGTTCAGTCCACAAATATTTACAGATATTTAGACAGTACCAGCTACTCTGTATGATAAATAAGATCAGGCTGTATCACAAAAAGCTGATGAGGAAAAGTCTGGAATCTGGGCTTGCTAAGTGCAACGTTTAGAGCTGCAGTTGGCAAACTACAGCCTGCAGCCTGTTTATATACGTCTCATGAGGTAAGGATGGTTTTCACACTTGTAAAACACTTTTTTAAAAACAGAAGGATGTGCACCCATATATGGCTCATGAATCCTAAAATATTTACTCTCGGCCCTTTATGAAAAAAGATTGTTGCTCTCCAGTATAGAGCAGCCCTGTACCTGAACTTGCTGCAGTGACAGCATTCTGCAGGTGCTTTCTAGCATGGCAGCCACCCGCCCCAGCTGCCTGTGAAGTGTGCCTAATAACACCTGAGATGCTGAATTGTTAACTTTACATTTTAATTAACTCAAACTCAAGCAGCCGTATGTGGCTATGGCTACTATATTGGACAGCACAAGAACAGAGCAAAAGATATGCTGGAATTGACAGAAGGCATGAATTCCAGGGGCTGGGCAGTGGTGAAGACTTCCCAGGGTAGCCAGGACATTGAATTGAGTTCTCAGAATAGACATCTGCAATCCTGTATCTCAGCAGTTACTACAGAACACTCAGTCCCCTTAGAGATTAAAATAAGCAATGGATATTGCTTCCTTCTTTAATGATTTTTCACAACACTTAACTTTGGCACGGGGTGCACAAAAAATGAAAAAAAGCACAGAACTTAGTAATAGTTTAGTTTTTTACAAATAGCATTGATGAACTACACAAATAGGCTTTCAAATAACTTACTTTTGAATATAGTAAGATTGTAGTTTTTTAAAATCTTTTCCAAAGCCTTGTCGCCTCATGAAATCTAGGATGTTTGGATTTGATTCCCTTAAACAGAAACAGTGATTAAAATTTCATTAAGTTTTATATGCCCAATCTATTTTTTTTAATAGAAGTTTTTTGCCTTAGGGTGCATGTCCTTGCCAGAGAGAGACAGAGACAGTGAGAGGGAAACCGAGACATCATCCCCTAGGAAGGACATGCCACAATTCTTTCTCTCCCCAGGATCTTGGGTATGCATGCACATGCATCTGGTGTGAGTTTGAAGTTACCACGTTCAGGACTCCAACCGCCAACTACGGTTGGCCATGTGGGAAGTCCGGTGACATAACTGCTATGCCACCTGCTGGTCCCTGTCCAACCTATTTTTAAAGCATCACATATCCCTAACATAGTTGTGCAGACTTTAAACTATTAAAGTTTACAAGGAGTAAAAAAAGCTTAAACACTGAATAATTAATGTACCACTGCAAATGTTTTCCTAATTTTCCATTGTAAATACAAACTTTTTACAAAAGCTAATTTCCCATAAAAAATAGCTTTCCCAAACCCCACCTTGTGTATCCACCTAAGGCTATTTCTAAAGATCTTTTAAAAATTTTTATTCATTCATTATTATTATTTTAATTAGGTCAGAGTGAGACACAGAGGGGGAGGGAAAGTGAGAAAGTACGTCACCAGGTCCGGGACTTGAACATGGTTGGCCATGTGGGAGTTTCCAGCGCCTTAACCACCACATCACCTGCTGGTCCCATTCAAAAAAACATTTTTAAGAATTACTTAATTTTGTTAATTATTCTTCAATTTGAACAGAGAGGGAGGGAGAGTAAGAAAGCAAGCTACCAGGTCCAGGACTTGGAACTGTGGTTGTCCATGTGGGAGTCCAGTGCCTTAACCACCATACCACCTGCTGGCCCCTCCAGAGAATATTTTGCTTGAAAAAATTGCCCATTTAATCATGACTTTCTTTCACTAAAGATATTCTCAATCACTATAATCTTTTATAATCTTTTATAATCATTTTTCACCTCTATTCCTTCCTGAACTTTCACTTTGTCACACCACCAAAATGTACATTCTACAAAAATCCACCATCTCAGGAGCTGTGTTGCCCACATGGAACCCTTACAAGGACCCAGCCTCGGTGGTACAGGCAGTAGTATCTTTAAACCCTTATAGCAGAGATGTTGCCCTCAAATCTTCCTTTTTCATATGGAGCCCTCTACACCTACTTCAGTGCCACTGTTAAAAAGAAAAAAAATGAGGGATCAGCAGTTAGTGTAATGGCTATGTTGCTGGACTCCCATGTGGTCAACTGTGGTTCGTTTTCGGACCCGGTGGCTTAAAACTCATGCCAGGTGTGTGTGCATGCCCAAGATCCTGAGAGGAGAATGGAGGAGAAGGGATTGCAGCGTGGCCATTCCCCCCTGGGGGGTGATTTCTCGCTTTCTGTCTCTGTCCAAAAAAAAAAAGAGAGGGGTTTTGAACCAAACAGGAGGTATGGTAGTTGGGAAAACTGGATCCACACAACTGAGTCTTGGACCTGGTGACTTGGGAAACATGCCAGGCACATGTCCGCATGTACCCAAACTCTCAGGAGAATGGAGGAGAAGGGAGTGCAGCCTGGCCATCTCCCCTGAGGAGAGGGGGTGACTTCTCACTCTGTTCTTCCCTCTGTCCCTCTCTGGTGAGCACATGGGCCCTTGAGCGAAATTTAACAAGAAAAATGAGTTTTAAAAAATCATACCAACATTTAAATTCCACTTCATCTCCTCCCAAATGAATGAATTCATCTGGAAACACCCTACTAATTTCTTTGAACAGTGCAGTTAGGAAGCTGTAAGTGGTATTCAGAGTAGGGTTTATAGGTCCAAAAGTGCCTGACTGCTTTTGTCCAACGTAACATGGAGTCAAGAGTCCTCTCTGACCTAGAAGAAAGAAGATTCTTTTTTTAAAGACGTGTATTAATCACAAAGGCCTGGATTTGCACATGACTATATTACTTTATTTTGCTGAACCTATAAGAAATTTTGTATACAAAAGATAAGCACTTTTAGTTACCGTGTAATTTCTTCCAAATAAAATGAGGGAGAATTGCTTCCTTCCTGCATCCTGTCTCTTTATCTCCTGTTTCCCTTCCCATCCAGTCTCTGAGATTGTTACCCATTTCAAATAATTGACCCAAATCTTGAGTTTGCCCAAACCCTTTTTTGAGCTTCAAATTCCCTACTGAATAAAACTAGAAATCCTAGCTACACTTCAAATATGATCTCAGAAAATTCCAATTCTCTATTCCCTTAACTCCATTCTCTACCTTCTGGTTTTTGAAATTCTAGTAAGGGTTCCACATCCTCATAGAGTCTGCAACCTTTTCCTGCTTCTGGTGTCCATCAGTTGCCAAGTTCTATCGATTTGCCAAGTGTCTCTTAGTTCTGCCCATTATTTTCCATTTCTGTGATCACTATCCTAGTCTGTGACTTCAGTCTCTTTCCCCTTCGATTGTAGTCTGACACTTTTTTTCTTTTTAATTGCCAGAGGGCACATGTGCTAGCTAGAGAGGTAACAGAAACAGAACGATGGGGAGAGGGAGAGAGCACCCCTAAAGGGTATGCTTATGCCACAGTCCCTTTTTCATTTCTCCATCCTGTCGGGCTTTGGAACATGCATGTACACAGGCCCAGCATGTTTTCCAAGTCCCCAGTGCTGTTGGCCATGTGGGATCTGGCTCCCCTAACCAGCAGGCTACTCTGACTTTCACAAAGGTTGTCCCATCGCGTCCCTCCTTTGTTTAGAAACTCACTGGTTTATACGTGTCCTGTCAAAACCCCGCTCCTTACTCAAGGTCCTCTACAATGTATTTTCCTATGTTTACTTCCCCCTACCCCCCCATTCTCTCATGTCTACCCTAATAATATTTATTAAGGAATTTAAATGCTAAACATTTTGCTATGTGCTTTACATTCACTTTTTAATTCACAAAAAATGATCTGATGGCTACTATGAACAGTCTCATTTTAGGTGGGGAAACCGAAGATGTTATATAACTTTCCCAAGGTTACCCAGTTTATCAATGGCAGAAGCAGGACTCAAACTCAAGCAGTCTGGCTGCGGAGCCTCAAGTTCTTAGCACCCGATAGACCCTCCTACTCTTTGTTACACTTTACTCCAACTAAATACTTGTCTAACATAACGATATTTTTTGATCTCTAAAAAGCATCTTAAGTGTTACCTCATCTGTGAAACTGTTTTCTTGAATTAACGTGGCTGTACTTGTAATCTTTTTTTATGTTTTTTATCTCTGGTATTTATACTTCAGGCAGTACTACCTAGACACTGTGAGTTGCTTACACTAGATACGTAACAGTTATTGAATTGTATCTGTCCATAGTGCCACCATTGTGCAAATCACAAGGAAGAACGAAATGAACAAACACAAAGTCATAAAATAAGAGAATCAACATCTCAAATGTTCTCTCTCTACAACTTGTAAAGCACAAACTCCTGGCCCTGTGTGGTGGTGCACACATGGTGCCACTGCTTGGGAAGCTAGAAGCCACGTAAGAGGCATAGGCTTGGTTCCCAGGCCAATGTGAATATGCTGGTGTGGTGGCACATGCCCATAATCCTACCCAATTGGTAGGCTGAGGCAGGAGGATCACAATACAGTGAAATCCTGTCACAAAAAGCCTGTTAATGTCTTTTTTTCCTCTTCTCTCTCCAAAGGTGAAGGGCTGTAGACATAAACTCCTTACCTTTTCCCCAAGACTGAGTATGTCCAGGGGTATCAAATTCTGGTATGACTCGAATCCCTTGAAATCGGGCATATTCAATCACCCTCTTGACATCATTTTGTGTATAAACATGAGAAAAAGAATAGCTTCCCTGTAAAAGACCCATTTGTTCAAATTAAAATGGACAAAATGGATTTGGTTTTACACATGGTTAACAATGCGGTATGCACTTTGATAGCCAATCTTCCCACTCACAATGTATTAAACAGCCCCATGCGATGTTGGATGACTCATTTAAAAATAATACAGTGCTTTAATGCCAGTAGTAGAAAAACTATACAAAACAAAGCAGATGTCTCCTAAATAACACAGACCCTAAGGATGATAGCCATTTTGGGGCTTTTGTCCTATTATTTGTTTACTGTAGGTTAATGACCTACTTTCAGAGTAAACCCCAGATTTCTGAAAGAACTATCTCCGCCAGTGCCTTCCATTTCAAGAATGTCTACTATCCCTGCTTCAACTTGACATAACCACACAATAAAACAGAAATAAACTGTCTCCAAAGTGAAACCTCTGAACACCTTGATCCTCTCAATTTTAGAATCCAAATTCACACATTGTTACTGGGTAATCGGTAGAGTCATGACATATCTTTCTGATTTTCTATGCAAAAATGCGTCATGACTTTTCTGATGACCCAGTACAAAGCGTAGCTGTTGTTTTTCAAAGTCACTTTCATTACTGTTAGTGACGTGATTGTTTTTAAGACTACTTCAATCCCTTTTATTTGGAGCTTAGTATTGCTTTTAACACTTAGCACACTTCTCAAAGCATAGTTCTAAAAAAGTGCTCTTGTCCTGCAAGTCCTGGAATCAAATACCTAATCAAGACTAGATGCAACTTATAGTTAATTGTAAATACAGAAGATGTAAATTCACAAGTTGCAGATACAATAAGCAAAAACCAGGCCAGGAAACTGGAAAACACATGACTCAGTTTCTGCAACAACAAATTACAGGGGAAAAGAGATTGAGGGGTGGGGGAGACTTATAGAACAAAAGAAAATTGATATTTATTAACCAACCACAGTAGTGACCTCAGCTGCATCCCAGTGCAAATATTGTGTTGTTTTTTTTTTTAAAGGAAAAAAAGACACTGGGGAAAACATGAATACTGGTTGATTATCTAAGAGATTATAACTTTTTGGTTGCAATGATGTATTGTGGGCTTAAAAAAATGCTGTTTACTAGCAAGAGATAAATGATACTTGATTCAAAATAATGAAATGGAGTGTAAGTGATAAAATATTGGTCATGTATTGACTACTAAAGCTGGGTGATGAGAATGTGGAAATTTGTTAGATAATTCTATGTATATGTTTAAACTTTTTCATCATAAAAGGTAAAATGAATGCAAACAAAAACACATGCATTGCTAGGATTTCAGCCTGTACTGCATAATCGTTGGAGAAAGTTTTAGAATTGTAGCAAGAGCACAGAATTTAGAGCCCTGGCTCTGACCCTTGCAACTTCAGACAAGGCACTGAATTTCTGGAGGTCAATCGCTTTCTTTGTATTACAAGGGGATTAAACCAGGTAACATTGAGGGTCCCTTCCAGCTCAATTGGTCTATAGTACAGACAGTATGAGCACTTCTAACTGAAACCACCAGTATTTTCTAAGAGCTCTCATCTCTAAAATTCCTTGCTTTGTATAGTTTCTCAGAAAAAGAAATTGTTATTTACAGATTTACATACAGATTTGTATGAGGGGACTTCAGAAAATCCGTGGGAAAATGGAATTAAAGTAGGAATGTATTTTTGCACCACAAAGAAATTGATATCCATACATAGTTTTTCATAATACACATTTTTCATAAACTTTTTGAAGAGTCCTCACATACCATTGGACTGTTTGGTAAATATGTTAACTGTACATCAACTGTGAATTACTCAGGTTTTCTACATTAAAGTTTTAAAATTTTATACTGCCCCTAGAAACTTAACATTTACGATAACATTGCATTAAGAAGTACAGACAAAACTGGTATGACAAAAACATAACAGTTTTATGTATATTTAAAATGCCACACCCTAAAAAAAATTCATAGCCAGAAACATCTAACTTCGATAGTATGATTCTATACATACTATACATAAGAAAAAACACTGAAGCTACAAACTTCTAATGAAGCTATATCAGGTACTTTTGTAGGCAGACTGCAGTAACACGGATCACTCACTTTTCCGCTTAACTGAGGAAATGTCATGCTCTGAAAAGGGAAAGACTGGTCATCAACTATGTGCCAGTGGAGAACGTTGAACTTATTAATAGCCATGGCATCCTGCAAGCAAACAGGTTAAAAATTACATACTGCAGATGGAATGCACAATCCATAGTACACATTTCTGTTGGAATGCTTCCAAAAGTCTGCTTCCTCTCAAAATTTTTCAGCACAGAAAGAACACCGGAAGTATAGAGTCATCATCGTATATACTGCACTGCATGTCACTATTCAAAACGCCGATTCAGACTTGTCATGCATTCTAGACTGTGAAGTATGACTGTGCTCTATGGGAGGGGAGCAAACATAAATTCCCAGGATTTAGAGGTCTGCAAAGAATGAAAAGTAGTTCTTGGCTGCTATTGCTACTATGTTTGGAAATAGAGCAGAGCAAAAATGGAGCACTCATTAAGTAAAGGTGTATAATTCCCACAATTCTGAAATTTGACTGCCAACCCAATATCGTTCCCATTAAAATTCCCAGAGAAATTTTTGGGTACGTTAACATACTGATTTTAGGTATACTCTGGAAGAATAAATAATATGATAGTTATATAAAATAGAAACAGACTACTTTATAAAAAAGATTAAAAATAATAAGGGTTTATAAAAAAGATTAAAAATAATAAGGGAGAGGCTGGCAGATGGTATAGTGATTAAGGTGCTGGACTCCCACATGGCCGACCATGGTTCAAGTCCCAGACCTGGCGGCTTGCCTTCTCACTTTCCTTTTCTCTGTCTCTCCCTGGTGAAATTTTAAAAGTTAATTAATTAATTAATTGAATTATTTTTAAAATTATTATTATGAGGGGGGATTTGCCCTACTAGATAATCAAAACTTAAAGCCTCTCTCCACCTTCTTGTGGGCTGAAGGGATCTGGCCATTGCCATTGGGAAATAGCTACACACAAGGGACTGTGCAAGTCAATGAAGACACTGAGGACACTAGAAGGGTTTGCACTGAGACAAAGGACCAAATGTGAAGCTGGAATTAAGCAGATTAGTATAAATTGTGTTTAACACAGGCCATGGGCTAGGAAACTTTTAACATAAGGGCCTGATAGTAAAATGTTTGGCTTTGTAGGCCATACAGTTGTGTTGCAACTATTCCACTCTGTAGTTGTAGAGTGAGACAATATGTAACGAATGTATGCAGCTATATTCCAGAACACTTTATTTGCCAAAATGGGTGGGAGACTGGATTTGACCCTTGGGGTGTAGTCTGCCAGCTTTTACAGTCAACTTCTGATTAGACAGATACAGAAACAAAAAGACATGAACGTACGTGTTCATATAAATATATATGTACACACGCTTTCTAGCTGTGTCTGCTGAGAGGCCTAGACGCAAAGACACCCTCGTAGCAATGATCGCACTTACTGCCCAGATTTTGGTTTCAAAATATTCACTACTAAAAGGGGTTTATCCTTGAAGAAAACAGTTATAGTCAGCCTTATTCCTAACTCCTATCCCCTCTGAGATTCCATATTCCTTTCAAACATATCCCTAGTATAAAGCAGCTCCTAGATTTCTTTCTATGTCACTTTTTTAAAAGTGGCTATCACAGGGAACCAGCAGTTAGCATAATGGCTATGTCGCTGGACTCCCACGTAGTCGACCGTGGTTCGTGTCCCGGACCCGGTGGCTTAAAACTCACGCCGAGCGCGTGTGCGTACGTGCCCAAGATCCCGAGAGGAGAATGGAGGAAAAGGGATTGCGGCGTGACCACCCCCCCTGGGGGGTGATTTCTCGCTTTCTGTCTCTATGTCTCTCTCTGTCTGTCTGGCGAGCGCACGCGCCCTATAGCGAAAAAACCTCTCAAAAAAAAAAAAAAAAAAAAAGTGGCTATCACGGGCAAGCTGGTAGCATAATGCTTGAGGCATGGGACTTCCAAATGGCCAACCGTGGTTTAAGTCCTGTACCTCGTGGCTTGCTTTTTCACTTTCCCTCTCTCTCTCTCTCTCTCTGGTAAGTGAACATGCCCTATAGCAAATTTAGTAATAAAAGAAATAATTATTAACATGAATTCTTTTTTTAAAAAAGTGGATATCACAAAATTGAAGGACACTAACTAGAAGTATGGTGATAATGTATTCCTAACCCAAAGTTGAGATATGTGATTTGATGAATGAAAGTGCACACAGGGGGCCACTGGCAGGACTAAACTATCTGTTACCCATCTTAGCTAACTATATGCTGTGTGTGGCCCTCCCTAAGAAACAGGAGAGTGATTCCTGAAGAGGAGCCTCCACTTCACAGCTAAGGAAATATGCCTTTCTGGGGAGAGAAGAAAGCCCAGTTTGTATACTTAGTATAAGAAAAACAATTGTCCTATTCCAGTCTCCATAACAGTGTAAGTGACCACCATAAAGTAAAAGCATGAACAAGACACATCTTCAGAACAGATAGTGGATTAGAATAAAGTAGTTACCTACCAGAACTTTAAGAATAATCCCAACTGGCAGATAGTGTCTGGATGTATCAATTAAAATCCCTCTGTGAGGGAACCTTGGAGAATCAATGATGCTGGATTCATTGATAGTGAACTGCAAGACAAAATAAAATTTTGATTTAGCTGTAGAATTTTCTCTTGAGCTCAGTGCAGAATACCATCTTGCTATATAAATAAGTACTAGATAAAAGATTAATTTGGAACAAAACAATGAAATTTATATTTACCAGCTAAGATAAATATTTGGGGAAAAGAAGCAATAGCTATGCTGGTTATATTTTTATAGTAGTAATATGTCCATCCAACAATTTTTAGTAACATATGATAATTATACTTACAGTTCCATAAGAATCTTGATAAATTAACTGGCTGAAGGTCTCTAAACCTGAGCAAAGTAAAATTTATTGCATTAATTTATAAAACAACAAATTGAGACAGTATTAGTTATATTACCCAAATATAAACTTATAACGTGGTAAAGCAAATAAAATTAAATGTGATGTTCTACCTACCCTAAATATAGTGTTATACCTACACCCTCTAACATATATCCTAAAATCAAAGACGGATTTTTAAGATATCCATTACCTTCTTTATCCACCTAATGAAGGTTATTTCTTCTTTATACCCTCACCTTGGGTTTTGTTTGAATGTTAAACACAAAAGGAAAATACCGATTTAATAAAATAAAATGCCTTGGGGACCAGCAGGTGGCGTGGTGGTTAAGGTGCTGGACACTCCCACATGGCTGACCATGGTTCGAGTCCCAGACCTGGCAGCTTCCTTTCTCCCTTTCACCCTTTCTCTCTCGCTCTGTGTCTCTCTCTGGTCAAATTAAAATAAATGAATGAATAAATAAAATTAAATAAATAATAATTTTTTAAAAATAATAAAATAAAATGCCAGTTCCTTAGTTATAGCATAATCAGAAAGAATTTTTATGATCACATATTATAGTCACACTTAATAGAGGAATAAAAGACTCAACAAACATCACCATGAAACTATAAATAAAGCCTAATTTACAACTATTAGTATTTAACTAATAGCTGCATAGACTGTCCCCCGAATATTTTTTTACTCAAGTATAATAGATTATCCCCTTAACACAGAAGATTTCAGGCTAAATCCTTTTGCTGGCCTTGACTTTATAAAAATTCATCATTCTAACCAACAGCCACATAGTTGGGAAATTTTTAAGAATAGTTCAGAGCTATTTTTACTGTGCCCTTCTCTTTCCCCATCTCCCCCAAATACAGATTCACCCTAGGGAGAATAACTGACATTTTCTGCTGAGTAGTAATACACTCACTTACCAGTTTAGAGTACATTACTTTGAAAGTCCCCTGGTAATCAGAAAATGAAGTCTTCTTGGACTAGAATTTATCACTATACACTCTCTAGAGGTCTTTATTTTGGTATGGATCAGAACAAACATCTTAATAGGAATCTGTTCTCTTTAACAGACCTCAAATAAGACAAGCAGATCAGACTAATAAAAGCTTAAAACCACCTAATATTTTATATAAATTATTTAAATAACAATGATGGCAGTTACATTTCTATAATAGTAAATATCTATCTATATTTTCATATTCTATTTTTAAATAGAATTATAATCTTAGCATTCTTATGGCTATAAAGACATATATTAGGTTGTCAGAAAAGTCATGATGTATTTTCTATGCAAAAATGTGTCATAACTCTCCCAGCAACCCAATAGCGTAACAATGATTATTTTAGATAACACTCAACCTGAGTCAAATCCAAAGATGTTTTAAAATTTTTAGCTGCTATGACTTCGGTTGGTTAGCTCACATTTTTAAAGCCCCCCCTCTTTTTTCTTTTGTTTGTTTAATTTATTCATTTCTTCCATGGGAAACAGAGACAGGACCACCGATGGAGGATTTTTGGCTTTGGAGGTTTTTTTTGAGAGAGATTTTTGCTCTAGGGTGTGTGTGCTCACCAGAGAGACAATCAGAGACAGAGAAACAAAAAGTGAGAAATCACCGCCCTGGGGCATGGGCACACCGCAGTCCCCTCTTCTTTATTCTCTTGGGATCCTGAGCATGCACACACATGCACCCAGCATGAGTTTTAAGCCACTGGGTCCGGGATTTAAACCATGGTCAACTATGTGGGAGTCTAGTGACTCAACCATTATGCTATCTGCTGGTCCCTTAAGCCCCTTTTTTTAAAACCCTGCTCTGTGTGGGGCCAGCAGGTAGCATTGTGGTTAAGGAGCTGGATTTCCACATGACTGACTGTGGTTTGCCTCCTGGACATACTGGTTTGAAACTCAGACTGGGCATATGTGCATGATTGCCCAAGATCCCAAGAGGAGAATGGAAGGGAAGGGACTGTGGTGTGGCCATCTCCCCCGTGAGGTAATTTTTCACTTTCCCTCTCTGTCTGTCTCTGAGGAGCACACATGCCTTATGGCAAAAGCCTAAAAAAAAACCCTTGCTCTGTGGTAGTCAGTACAATTTCTTACCTACCTAGAATAAGAGGTAAAAGAAACTTGAACAGCAAAAGTAAATGCCCTGATGCCAAAGACCCCGAGATTTACAAGAAAAACTTTTGAGCTTCCTCTCCGCCCACTGCCTCTTACCAACTCTTTCTACCCCTGTTCCCATAAAAATGGTTATATATTCAAGTCTATGGAAATTTTAAACTCAGGAAGAGAGATGCTTGCTATGGAAGG